GACACAGGGTCAAAAGAGATCATTTTGGAGCTGTAAGATTTGGCTGTCCCACTGGATTTCAGACTTGCATGGGGCCTGTAGCCCCTCTGTTTTGGCCAATTTCTCCCACTTGAAATCGCTATATTTACCCAATGCCTGTAACCCCACTGTATCTAGAAAGTAAGTAACTTGCTTTTGATTTTAAAGGCTCATAGGCAGAAAGGACTTGCCTTGTCTCGGATGAGATAATGAACTGTGAACTTCTGAGTTAATGCTGAAATAAGACTTTGGGAGACTACTGGGAAGGCACGATTGGTTTTGAAATGTGAGGACAAGAGATTTGGGAGGGGCCAGGGGCAGAATGATACAGTTTGGCTATGTCCCCACCAAAATCTCATCTTGAATTCACACGTTTTGGGAAGGACCCAGTGGGAGGTAGCTGAATCATGGGGGTAGGTCTTTCTCATGCTGTTCTTGTAATAGTGAATAAGTCTCACGAGAGTTGATGGTTTTTAAAGGGGAATTTCCCTGCACAAGCTCTCTCTTGTCTGCTGCTGCCATGCCATGTAAGACATGCCTTTCAACTTCTGCCATGATTGTAGGGCCTCCTTGGCCACTTGGTGCTATAAATCCATTAAACCTCTTTCTGGTTGGGTGCAGTGGCACACACTTGTAATCCCAGCACTTTGGGAAACCGAGGTGGGCAGATCATCCAAGGTCAGCAGTTTGAGACCAGCCTGGCCAACGTAGAAAAACTGTCTCTTCTAAAAATGCAAAAATTAGCTGGGCACGGTGGCAGATGCCTGTGATCCCAGCTACTCTGGAGGCTGAGGCAGGAGAATTGCTTGAACCCAGGAGGTGCAGGTTGCAGTGAGCCAGGATTGCACCACTGCACTCCAGCCTGGATGACAGAGATGACAGAGCAAGACTCTGTCTCAAGCAAACAAACAAAAAAAAAACTCTTGTAAATTTCCCAGTCTCAAGTATGTCTTTATCAGCAGTGTGAAAGCAGACTAAAAAACTGTTTCTATTTATATGAAAATCTCAATAAACTTTCATTATCCAAAATGATAATTTAAACATTACATACCTATACATACATGCATGCTTAGGTTTGAATCTTGGTTCAGCTGCATCGTAACTAAATGTCCTTGGACAAAGTATTTAATGTCTCAGTGTCATATGTAAAATGGAGATGATAGCAGTAAGTGATTCATACAGTTTCTGTAAATATTAAGTAACAGATGTGAATGACAGAATCCAAGTATTAAATGAGATAATCTGTGTAAAGCAATTGGAACAAGGCCTGGCATATAATAAGTACTTAATAAATGTTAACAGTTACTGTTAAATATACACAAAGTATATTTGTGTCCAGATTAGGAGAAAGCATTAAAATATGAAGTGGCATTGCAAAAAACAAGAGTAAAAAGAAATCAGCCAGGTGCGGTGGCTCAGGCCTGTAATCCCAGCACCTTAGGAGGCCAAGGTGGGTGGATCACGAGGTCAAGAGATAGAGACCATCCTGGCCAACATGGTGAAACCCCGTCTCTACCAAAAATACAAAAATTAGCTGGGTGTAGTGGCTCTCACCTGTAGCCCCAGCTACTTAGGAGGCTGAAGCAGGAGAATCACTTGAACCCAAAAGGCAGAGGTTGCAGCAAGCCAAGATCACGCCACTGCACTATAGCCTGGTGACAGAGCAAGACTCCATCTCAAAAAAACAAAACCAAAAGGAAGAAGAAAAAGAAATCATAAGGTACATTAAAGTTTAGAGACAGATTCAGTTAATTTGTGTGTGTGTGTGTGTGTGTGTGTGTGTGTGTGTATGTGAGAGAGAGAGAGAGAGAGAGAGAGAGAGAGAGAGAGACAGACAGACAGACAGACAGACTCACTCTGTTGCCCAGGCTGGAGTGCAGTGGTAGGATCTCAGCTCACTGCAACCTCTGCCTCCCGGGTTCAAGCAATTCTCCCACCTCAACCCCAGAGCAGCTGAGACTACAGGCACACACCACCACCACACCCAACTCATTTTTGTATTTTTTGGTAGAGATGGGGTTTCACCCTGTTGGGCAAGCTGGTCTCGAACTCCTGACCTCAAGTAATCCGCCTGCCTCAGCCTCCCAAAGTGCTGGGATGACAAGCATGAGCCACTGCAGCCGGCTGATTCAGTGACTTCTTCAATATACAAAATAGTTTATTTTTTCATAATTCTGTGGGAAAACGTATTATCTCAGTTTTCAGTAACAAAATGTGCCAGGCACATTACAGATTCTCAATAAATACTCACTGAATTGAACTATTTCAATGTAATGAGATTGTCTTAATAACCAAGGAAAAAAGGTTTATCACTTTTTGACCCCATTAACTTCTGTTTCTCCTTTAGACAGTCTCTTTCAGCAACCACATTATCTCACCATTCCTTTCCCTAGACAGGTAGAATTTTTTTTTTTTCTTTTTTTTTGAGATGGAGTCTCACTATGTCGCCCAGGCTGGAGCGCAGTGGCACAATCTCAGCTCACTGCAACCTCCGCCACCCAGGTTCAAGCGATTCTCCTGCCTCAGTCTCCCAAGTAGCTGGGACTACAGGCATGTGCCACCAGGCCCAGCTAATTTTTTATATCTTTAGTAGAGACAGGGTTTCACTGTGTTAGCCAGGATGGTCTTGATTGCCTGACCTCGTGATCCGCCCACCTCAGCCTACCAAAGTGCTGGTGGGATTACAGGCCTAAGCCACCACACCTGGCCGAAAGCTAGAATTCTTAAAAGAAGAGACTGTAGGATTTTCTCCCCATTTGAACAGTAAGATCTACATTAAGAAAGTATAGTGCTCTCCATTGCTTTCTAACAAGTGCTCCTAAAAGTGTCTTGTGACAAATTAGGAAAACATTAAATGCTGCAAAAATAAACATAAGGCAATAGAAAAACAAATAAATGACTAAGAGTATGGAGAGAAGAAAAAAATTCAAATCAAGAACTGTGTATTCTTAATGTAGTACTTGTTTGGTAAAAAAAAATCATGCCCATATCTATGTGGCAAATACCCCCATATTTTCATTTTTGAACACATATTATTCATTTAATTTGTAGCCTAAATTGAATGTCAAACTGCAATTTGTCTACTTTGAGATGGAAACTGGTTTCCTAATACTGTTTTATAAATAGTTCCTAAAGAAGTCTATTTATACATTTTAAGGTTTTTATGTAAATACAAAATTTTTTAGAGATAATTTCTGAAAGATTCTGTCTGTGAAACTAGAGCCATTAGCTCTAGTTCACACACACATGCTTGTGAAACTATACAAGCACATATGTGCAAGCACATGTGCTCAACTTGACCTCTCAACCCTACTACTTCTTAAATATTTTCACCAGATTGAAAATATTTTACTAAGTTCTGAAAAGATGTTATAACTATTGATTAATACACTGACTCTTTCAAATATATCTTAGAGGAGGAAGGAAAAAACAGCACAGTGCTGGTGTTTAAGGGCTATGGGATAATGAATAAAGCTAATGGCTCTAGTTTTTTGTTTGTTTGGTTTTAAAAGCTTTATAATTTATTTAATAAAAAAGGATGTGGAAACTTAAACACAAAATTTACATAAATAAGAGACCATGAGGTGGTACCCAATGTCCCACATCCTCATAAGGACAAAACATGCTGATGAAAACATCTACAAAAACTAAAGATTCTACAAGTTAAAGTTCATCTTTTCCATATTTGTCATGCAGTTTCAATGACTTCTTGCCCAGTCCTCCATATAATTGCAATTGACCATCGGGAAGACTGGCTAAATTCCTGCATATATCCTAGGTGCCGTAAAGCGACCCTAGTACATCTCTGAGTTTTTCGTTTGTGTTTTTTTTAAGTTCTGGGATACATGTGCAGAACATGCAGGTTACATAGGTATACATGTACCAGGTGGTTTGCTGCACCTATCAACCCATCATCTAGGTTTTAAGCCTCACATGCATTAGGCATTTGTCCTAATGATCTCTTTCCCTTTGCTCCCCACCCCACAACAGGCCCCAATGTGTGATGTTCCCCTCCCTATGTTCATGTGTTCTCATTGTTCAACTCCCACTTATGAGTAAGAACATGTGGTGTTCGGTTTTCTGTTCCTGTGTTAGTTTGCTGAGAATGATGGCTTCCAGCTTCATCCATATCCCTGTCAAGGACATGAACTCATTCTTTTTTACAACCATGGCTCTCATTTTTAAAAAGCCTTATATATAATAAGGCTTTTTATATGTGTGCATATAATATATGTGTGCAATCATTCCAATGGAAAATAAACACCTTTCACATCTGTGTTAAGAACAGCATATTGGCTGGACATGGTGGCCCATGCTTGTAGTCCCAGCACTTTGGGAGGCCGAGGTGGGAGGATCACCTGAGGTCAGGAGTTTGAGACCAGCCTGGCCAACATTGTAAAACCCGTCTCTACTAAAAATACAATAATTAGCCAGGTATGGTGGTGGTACATGCCTGTAATCTCAGCTACTCGAGCAGCTGAGACAAGAGAATCTCTTGAACCCAGGAGGTGGAGGATGCAGTGAGCCAAGATTGTGCCACTGCACTCCAGCCTGGATGACAAAAGTGAAACTCTGTCTCAAAAAAAAAAAAAAAAACCATATTAAAATGTTTAACTGATAAAAGTTCATCTGTGGCAGAGTAAGAGATACAAAATCTCATACCTAAAGAATGGTTAAGAGTAAAAGTCAAAAATGCCCAAATGTACCTATCAATGTATGATTTTACCATATAATTTCTTACCAGGGTCTCTAAAATAGTAAAATTTACTACTTGTTCTATGTGTAAAAACTCATGAGCCATATCTCAAGGATATCTGATAATTTCAATATTCACAAATCTTAGTGGAAGCAGCCTGATAATGAAAGCTTCTGGCAGCCAAATACATGATTAAGTCAGCAAATGTTTATTGAACTGCCTACTGCAAATCCACTGTGTTATACCCAAAGCAGCAGCTCTTAAGCAATCAGAAATTGCTACTCACCAGCAAGGGTGTAATCCATATCAAAACCAAAACACTTTATCTTTTCCATGGCTAAGCTTCGATTCACAAACACCCTATAGAAAAGAATAAAAAATAATATCTCAATTAATACTGAAAAATAAATTCTCAAGTTTAATAAAGTTATTTGGCTATTTTCTAGATTTTCTCATTTTTCCAACTAATTGTTTAAACTTTTAAATTATATACTAAGATGTATAATACAACATGTTGTCCGATATATTTACCTTGATACACATATACACAGTGAAATGATTAATACAGTCAAATAAATTAACATACCCATTATCCCATATAGTTACCTTTCTTTCTTTGTGGTACAAGTACTTAAAATCTACTGTCTTGGCAAATTACCAGTATATAATACAATATTATTAAATATAGTCCTCATGCTATACATTAGATCTCTTAGACTTATTCATCCAACCTAATTGCAACTTCATACCCTTTGATCTACATCTTTCCATCCTTCCCCAACATTGTTTTGTTTTAGTTTTTTGAGGCAGAGTCACTCTGTCACCCAGGCTGGAGTGCAGTGGTGCAATCACAACTCACTGCAGCCTCAGCCTTCTAGACTCAGGAGATCCTCTCACCTCAGCCTCCCCAGTAGCAGGAGCTATAGGCACACATCACAAAGCCTGGCTAATTTTTTATTTTTGGTAGAGACAGAGTCTCACCTATATTGCTCAGGCTGGTCTTGAACTCCAGCTCTCAAGCAATCGTCCTACCACAGCCTCTTAAAGTCCTGGGATTACAGGCATCAGCCACCATGCCTGGCCTCCAATCACTGTTTTGCTCTTTGTATGGTTTCATTTTTTGATTGCTTTTTAGATTCCACATGTGAAATCATGCAGTATTTTTGTGTCTCTGGTTTTTTCACTTAGCATAATGTCTTCTAGGTTCATCCATGGTGTTGCAAATGATAGAATCTCCTTTTTTAAGGCTGAATATTCCACTGTGTGTATATATACCACAATTTCTTTATCCATTCATTCAGCCCATAGAGAAATATTTTGTTTTTTCCATCTCCTGGCTATTGTACATAATGTTACAATGAACATGGGAGTGCAGATATCTTTACAAAGTAGTGATTTTATTTCACGTAGACATATAACCAGAATTGCTGGGTCATATGGCAGGTCTATTTTCAATTTCTTTAGGAAGCTCTACAGCACTTTCCACAGTGGCTGCATCAACATACATTGCCATCAATAGTGTACAAGGATTCCCTTTTCACTGCATCCTTGCCAACATTTATTTCCTATCTTTTTGATAAAAGGCATTCTAACAGGTATGAAATATCTCATTGTGGTTTTGATTTGTACTTCCCTGATGATTAATGATGTTAAGCACCTTTTCAAATACCTGTTAGCCATTTGCATGTCTGCTTTGGAGAAATATCTACTCAGGACCTTTGCCCATTTTTAGGTTATTACTTTTTTTGCTATTGTTTGAGGTCCTTATGTACTTTAGATATTAATCCTTTATCAGATACATGGTTCACAAACAGTTTCTCCAAATCCATAGGCTGCCTTTTTTTTTTTTTTTTCCTGAAATGGAGTCTCACTGTCGCCCAGGTTGGAGTGCAGTAGTGCAATCTCGGCTTACTGCAGCCTCTGCCTCCCAGGTTCAAGCAATTCTCCTGCCTCAGCCTCCTGGGTAGCTGGGACTACAGGCATGTGTTGCCACACCCGGCTAATTTTTGTATTTTTAGTAGAGATGGGGTTTCACCATGTTGGCCAGGATGGTCTTAATCGACCTTGTGATTCACCTGCCTCGGCATCCCGAAGTGCTGGGATTACAGGCGTGAGCCACCACACCTGGCCTTTTTATTGTTTCCTTTGCTGTGAAGAAGCTTTTTAGTTTGAGATAATCCCACTTGTTTTTGCTTTTGTTGCCAGTGCTTTTGGTGTCCTATCCAAAAAAAATCACTGGCAAGACCAATGTCATGAAGCTTTTCCTTGGTTCTCTTTTAGATCATCTTCCTTTTTTTTTTTTTTTTTTTCTTTTCTTTTGTTTCTGAGACCAAGTCTTACTCTGTCACTCAACCTGGAGTGCAGTGGAGCGATCTCAGCTCACTGCAACCTCCACCTCATGGATTCAGGTGATTCTCCTGCCTCAGCCTCCTGAGTAGCTGGGATTATAGGCGCCTGCCACCACGCCCGGCTAATTTTTGTATTTTTAGTAGAGTCGGGGTTTCACCATTTTGGCAAGGCTGGTCTCGAACTCCTGACCTGGTGATCCACCTGCCTTGGCCTCCCAAAGTGCTGGGATTACAGGCGTGAGCCATCGTGCGCAGCCTCTTTTAGATCCTCTCATTTAAATATCAGTATTAAAATCCCTATTAATAATTATTCAAGGCCAGGCACAGTGGCTCACACTTGTAGCATTTTGGGAGGCCGAGGCAGGCAAATGGCTTGAGCTCAAGAGTTCAAGACCAGCCTGGGTAACATGGGGAGACCCCCAACTCTACAGAAAATACAAAGATCAGCCGGGCATAGTGGTGTGCACCTGTGGTCACAGCTATTTGGGAGGCTGAGGTAGGAGGACTGCTTGAGTCTGTGAGATCAAGGCTGCAGTGAGCCGAGATCACACCACTGCATTCTAGTCAAGGTGGAAAAGTGAGACCTTGTTCCCCAAAAACGTAACAAATAAATTAAAAATTTAAAAATATTATTCAAGACTTTCTTTCTTTCTTTCTTTCTTTTTTTTGAGACAGAGTTTCACTCATGTTACCCAGGCTAGAGTGCAATGGCGCCATCTCGGCTCACCGCAACCTCCGCCTCCTGGGTTCAGGCAATTCTCCTGCCTCAGCCTCCTGAGTAGCTGGGATTACAGGCATGCACCACCATGCCCAGCTAATTTTTTGTATTTTTAGTAGAGACGGGGTTTCACCATGTTGACCAGGATGGTCTCGATCTCTTGACCTCATGATCCACCCGCCTCGGCCTCCCAAAGTGCTGGGATTACAGGCTTGAGCCACCACGCCCGGCCTTAAGACAGGTTCTTACTCTATCGCCCAGGCTGGAGTGCAGTGGTGTGACAGTGGCTCACTTGCCGTCTCAACCTCCCAGGCTCACGTTATCCTCCTACCTCAGCCTTAGCCTCCCAAGTAGCTGGGACCACAGGTACACACCACCACACTCAGCTATTTTTCTTTTTATGTTTTTTTCTTTGTAGAGACAGCCTTGGAGTCTTTTTTTAAAAGGAGTCTGGGACCAGGAGTGGTGGCTCATGCCTGTAATCCCAGCACTTTGGGAGGCCAAAATGGGAGGACTGCTTGAGCCCAGGATTCTAAGACCAGCCTGGGCAATATGGTGAGACCTTATCTCTACAAAAAATAAAAAATTAGCCAGGCGTAGTGGCACATGCCTGTAGTTCAGCTACTAAGGAGGCTGAGGCAGGAAGATCACTTGAGCCCAGGAGGTCAAGGCTGCAGTGAACTGAAATCGTGCTGCTGCACTCTAGCTTGGGCAACAGAGCAAGACCCTAACTCAAACAAACAAACACACCTTCCAACCTCCAATCCCCAAACATATCACCTTCTAATATTTCATCAAGTATCACCCTGCTATTACTGATAAAAGCATCTACTTTATTTTCCCAGTTACGTAAATCTTTTTGAAAGTACAACAGGGATAAAAGACAAAACAATGGTTGTAACTCTAGAAACTAAATGTTACTACTGAAGGCTTTTCAAACAGATTCTTAATTCAGGCTAGGGAGCCAACTGGATCAAATCCTTGATCAGGCCCTAACAGCTGACATGCCTAAAATATTCTATGGGAATTCATGCAGGAATGGATTGGGGAAGATTTTTTTCCCTTGTGATACAATCCAGGAGAGAAATACATAGAATCACATAATAAAAGAAATGGCTTTGACTCTCATAGAAGAAAGATGCTAGCTGGCTTCAGGCACAGCTAACATCACAGGAAAAAAGAGATTTTGCTGCTAATGTCACTCAATCAGTGCTTAAGATGGAAAGAAACTATCAACAGTCCCAGCCAAGTACCAGCTTCTTTCTTTGTTAGAAAAGCAATGAAGCTTGTACTGTCACGAAAATCTATCACATATGTATATTTTTAAGGATATAAAGATTATAATGTACCTTTATTATCTATGTAAACTCTAGGAATAACAATTTCAGGAATATAAAAATCTGGTTTTGCCAAAATAATCACTGCTAAATAGCCATCAAATTGCACTTCTCTCCTCTTTAACCTAGTCACGTTAACTGTTCAATCAACACATTCATTGTCTACTACAAAGCAAATACCATTTTCTGACATACGTCATAAAAGCTGTTCTTTAGGGAGCAGAAAGAGCTAAGACAGAGTTTATAAGAGTCTAATATTAGGAAATAAGATGTTTTTCTAATAAGTTCTACCAAATGTCCTTTATCTTTTCATTTTCATTCAAAATAAATACTCTAGCTACAAAAGCAATACCTGAACTTACAATCACTTCTGTCTCCCCCAATTCATTTCTATTATGTTTATAAAAATGAAAAGCCTTACATATAGTCTCATCTTTCTTTTTCTTTCCCTAATTTAGGCTACAAAACATGAGGGGAGGGGCAATATGGAATTAAATCTAATTTGTTGTATGCATATCTAAAGTGCATAGTCAAAGCTATAATGGTAAAATAGAATAGCTGTATTATAGAGAACTGCAATAAGCCAAATAGAGTTATTTGGCTATATGGTCCATGGTTTACAAAGATAATAAACACCCAAATGCTTAAGGTATGCACTGACTTCAGCATAGAGGCAGCCTTAAACATGAAACACCATGTCTCCAGGATATAGTCTTCAAGAGAAACTAATCTCTTGGCCTCAAACTAATGACTATTCTTCACTGAGGTTACAGCAAAACAAAGTGTTAGGTACTATATCAACTAAAAGGTACTGTATCAATTACAAGGCTGGCCCACTGCCCCATCGCACATTTCAAAACAAAAAGATTCATCTGCTTGAGGAATCCAAAAATTTCTATTGGTCTCAGGACCTTAACTGTACCTTTGCCAATGCCAGTTTACGGTGTCACATTTCTAAATTATTAACAAGTGGAACATACTCCACCCCGTGTTCAAGAGCTTGAACATATCTGCGAAATTAATTTCCCGAAGTTTGCTTTTGAAAAAGCACAAACTTGCCACCCCAGAAAGCATGACTAAACTAAGCATCCAGTCTTAAAGCACAATTAACCAGCAATTCCAACATACTAAGTCCTTTGTAAGTTGCAGATTTGAGCATTAACAACAAAAACAATTTCTAGGTGACAGGAACACTAAAAAACCAAGCACAGGCTTCAATAATAAAGACAAACATTAACAGCTTTGATTATCATATCCCACAGCAGTTAAGACATGTAACTTAAATAAACTCTATCCAAGTAAATATAAATATTAACCATAAGAAATAAAGCCATTAATATAATATGCTTTAGGAATAGGGATCTAATATTCTCACACTTAAGTAACATGAACATGCAATTTATTAAATTTTAATTTTGTAAATAACAATCTTTGAGATTTAACTTGTAATTCAAAGCAGCATTACCTCATCTGTCACTGGTTGCTGTTTTGAAAAGTGTGAAACTATCTGAGTCAACTAGTTCTTGAAGTCACATAACAAAATTCTTTGTAAAGTCCCTAGTATAGTTTTTTTGTGACTTAACTTCAAGAAGCTTAGTCTGTATCAGGCCTTTCAAAATCATGTATCTTCCGAGACAGTGCTGGAGAAAACACCTCTGTGTCTAATTTAACATGTCATTGGATATCACTGTTGCTCCACACAAATCCATTTGGAATAGAATTTCTTTGGCAATGGTGAACTTTATCTGTAACTCCTCCCATTGCCTAGGAGTCACAATTTCCTGGCCAAGTGCCCAACGACAGTTACTGCAACAACAAATGAGACTAAGGATTCAAGTATAAAATCTTCTTGGGCATCTGTTTTCCTTATGGGTTTGCATAATTACACATTCAAAATTTACTACAATCAAGAAAAGAAAAAGTTACAAGTGCTTTTTGAGATGACAAATTGAAGTTATAAACTAAAAAGTATGTGTCTGGATATATGTATATTTTTACTTCATAGAAAATGCTACAATGTTTATTTTTTATTGAAAATCCAATCTCCAAACTAGTTCCTACTTCTGCTACTGGCACTCCCATTTTCCCATTCAAGCTTAAAATCTAGTTATCTTTTGATTCTTTCTTCTTCTTCAAATCCACATCTAATCATCTCATATGCCTTCATTTAAATTACCAAATGTCTCTGGAATCCAATCTTCCATTCAATTCACAATGCTAACAACATGTCCAGGTCCTCATTAGTCCAGCAATCATCTCCCAATTGCTCTGTCCTCACACTAATGCCAAATTAATTGCTTTGAAGTAGTGCTACTCAAAGTGTGGTCCACAGACCAAGGCTAGCTTATGAACATTTGTTACTAACTCATGATATGACACATACAGTAATTTTACATCTTAAGAAACTTTTATAGTAATTTGACAGAGAAATTTTGTTTGTTGAATGTAGTAATAAAAAGGTAGGCTTACATTTTGTGTCGTCATTTTTCTTGTAATTCATTTTTATTTTCTAAACATGTCCATTTGAAACGGACTGGAAAAAAGTTGTTTATACACTGGTCCTCCCCTCACAGATCATTTGAGAAGCACTGTCCTAAAGCCTAGATCCAATCACATCACTCTCTTAAGAACTTTTAGTCATCGTTCACTACTTACCCAATTAATAAATTGAAATTCTTGGATCTTCAAGTTCAAAACCTTTCACCATTTTGTCAAAATCAGTTTGATTTCATGTTGTGCCACATCATGCACCTTTAGCTCTAATAATCAAAGCCAGCTACTTGCTATTTCCTAAATATGCCCTAAGGCTTTGTTTATATTGTTTTCCCTATACTTAAAAGGACCACTCAGTTGCCTCTCATTATTCAAGATCCCGGATCTCAAGTGATTTTGTCAAGGAACTATTAATATTCTGGTTGTGCCACAGTACTATGTGACAGTAATGTCTCTGAGTCTCATTACTTTTGCATCAACAACTAAAATTCTATAAAGTTGTGACCCAAGTGAGAGGTTTAAATATTCAAAATTCCCTATTTTGACACTACTATATATTGTCATATACATAAAATATGGTAGTTCTCTTATTCTTTACTTGATTATAAACTTTGAGACCAGGATTTATAATCTTCCCAATACCTAACACAGGGCGTTGTAATAGCAGACACAATATTTAACTGAACTAAAAATTAAGCTTAAACTAAAAATTTAATAGGAGTTCGTGGTTGCCAGAGGCTGTGGGGAGGACGGAATCAAGGAGTTTCTGCTAATGGGTACAGGGTTTCTTGTGGGGGTAATGAAATGTTCTAAAATTAGATAGTGGTATTTGTTGCACAACTCTGCGAATACACTAAAACCACCGAATTGTATGCTTAAAAAAGGTGAATTGAATGGTATGTGAATTGCATCTCAATAAAGCTGTTATTACAAAAGAGTAATAGGAAGACCTCATCTTCCATTATGTCTCCATTCTTCATAAAAAGTAAGTTTAATGATATAAAATATATTATAGGTAAGAACTTTATGAAATGGATTCTTAAAAATTCAAAGTTCAAATATCATGGACATACAGACACAAAAAGAAATTTCGGGTTAGATTCTAAAAACAACAGACATCTAGTAATATTAACTTTCATAAATTCTAACCAATAACTTCTTACTAATTTGTTTTAACATCTTCTCTGAGAAACATCAAGAGGGATACATTTTGTTTATCAGATTGTGTCAAGAGAACAGCAGCCTGTGCATTAAAAATCTGAACAATGCTTCGCTTCAGCAGCAGCACAGACACTAAAAATCTGAACAAATGCGTTACGACTTATAAAATAAAACATGAATTAATTATAATACTCATTTTATTCACTCATGTACTCAATATGCAAAAGTTCCAAAGAAAAGTCAGTATGGAGAAATACATAGAACAAAATTTAAGATGATTAATATTTAAAATGCCATCAATTGTAAAACGTACCCATATTATATATTAGTAGGAAAAGTGGCCAGGCGTGGTGGCTCATGCCTGTAATCATAGCACTTTGGGATCACGAGGTCAAACGATTGAGACCACCCTGGCCAACATGGTGAAACCCCATCTCTACTAAAAATACAAAAATTAGCTGGGCATGGTAGCACATGCCTCGGGAAGCTGAGGCGGGAGAATCACCTGAACCCGTGAGGCGGATTTCTGAGATCTTGCCACTGCATTGCAGCCTGGAGACACAGCAAGACTCTGTCTCAAAAAAAAAAAAAAAAGGGTTGGTGGGGAAGGGGGCATGCCAAGTGAGAGCCTAGTAGGAGATTCCACATAAAGCTAGGGTATCAAAAGGGCTATACTCATAATACGAGGATATAGAAGAAATATATCTGGCAACATAGAAGGCCCCACAAAGAAATCTGTACATCTCAGCCTTAACTGTACATCTCTTCCCTATTTTGCACAGAGTCCAGGGAGGGGAAAAATCTCCCCCTAAGAATTTGAATAAGTCAGTCTTGTAGCTGTAGGTTGTGCTCTGAATTGATGCTACCAGGATGGCTGATATTTTCCCCAGGTTGCCAAAAGAAAAGAAAGCAAATCCTCTCTGGAAGAACTCAACTTGAATTCTAGGTGGTACATTGCTAGACAAAGCCCAGCTGCAGGGATGTTTAAAGTAAAAGAACGTCTACCTTAAAAACGACAAAATAACAGGAGTACTAATGATAATGTAGACTCTCTTTCCACCAAAGATTTTAAAGCACACTTTAAGGAGATTCATCAAAAATATTTAAGGAAAAGACATTAAAATTCCCTTCACCTTCATTCTCAAATGAAGAAATTGTGATAAGGGGAGAAGGATGGTGGAGAGAGCGGACCGCCAAATCAGAAAAATACACAAGTTATGGGAAAAACCAGGACAATACCAGTACTTCTGAAAATATATTTACTATTCTAAAACCTCAATCTAATTAAGTATAGGTTTTTCGAATCCCTTTTTTCTTATTTGCCTCTAAATTGGTTTTCACTTTTTCTCTACAATTTTTGAAAGACCAGTGTATAAGAGGATCATTCATAAAATGTAGCAAAATTTCAAGATTAAACTCTGCGAGATAGAAATTGAAAAGACAATACAATTATCCATGTTAGCGTAAGGCCAAATTAACAAGGGTACTGTACCTATATTGGAAGAAAGGTCAAAACCCAGAATTTAAAATAAAAGTAATAAATTTCATTTTGGCCTTTTACCTAAAAAAGAAAAAAAAAAACAAAAAAACAAAAAACCAGCAACTCTAGTAATAAAAAAAGAAAGGGCACTCTAACAACTCTAAAGGACTAATTCAATCATGACACTGCAAGGAGAGTATATTTTTCCCTGCACTACACATCCTAGGAGCACCCATATTTTCCCAAAGATATCCCTTTGAAAATGAATAATCAACAACCACTTTAGTTAGAAAATTTTAAATCAGCAGGTTGAGGAGCTTCTCCAGTCTCATTCCTCCACCAACTTTATCAAGGTATCATTTACTTAAAATAACATTCACCCACTTCAAATGATAATTTTGGTGTGTTGTGATAACTGTATATACTCATGCAGCACTACTGCAATCAAGATGTAGAGTATTCTTCAATCTAAAAAATCCCTTCATGTCCTTTTACAATACCCTCCCCAGCCCCTGGCCTTGAGCTACCACTAATCTGTACTTTCTGTCACTACGGTTTTCATATAAACGAAATCAAACATTATTTTGTCATGTGCCTGACTTCTTTTACTTAGTATAATACTTCTGAGATTCATCCATGTTGTGCATATATGGAAAATAGTTCTTTTATTCCTATTTCATTGTATGGATATACCACAATTTGTTTATCCATTCAGTTAATGGGCATTTGGGTTATTTCCAGCTTTCGACTGCTGCTACGAACAGTCACATACAAATTTATGTGGGCATCTTTTAATTTCTCCTGGGTAAATATCTAAAAGTGGAATTATGAGGTCATATGTTAAGCAGATGTTTAACTTAAAAAGACATTGCCAAAACTCTTTTCTATTTTGCACTCTCATTAGCAACCCATAAGTGTTACCATTGCTCCACACTGCCAGTGTTTTTAATTGTAGTCATTTTAGTGTGTGTGCAGTAGTATCTCATTGTAGTTTTAATCTGTGTTTCCCTAATGATCAATAATATCTTTTCAAATACACTTTTGTAAAGCATCAACTCAAATCTTTTGCCCCTTTTTAAACTGGGTTGTCTTATCATTTAATTACAAGAGTTCTTCATATATTTTGGATCCAAGTCCTTTACTGGATATAAATATATTCAGAATATTTTCTCCCAGTCTGTGGCTTGCCTTTAAATATTCTTTTATTTTTTTTGAGACGGAGTTTCGCTCTTGTCACCCAGGCTGGAATGCAATGGCGCGATCTCGGCTCACTGCAACCTCCGTCTCCTGGGTTCAAGCAATTCTCCTGCCTCAGCCTCCCGAGTAGCTGGGACTACAGGCGTGCGCCACCATGCCCAGCTAATTTTTGTATTTTTTAGTAGAGACGGGGTTTCACCATGTGACCAGGATGGTCTCGATCTCTTGACCTCGTGATCCACCCGCCTCGGCCTCCCAAAGCGCTGGGATTACAAGCGTGAGCCACCACGCCCGGCCTGCCTTTAAATATTCTTAATGATGTCTTTCAAGAAGCAGATATTTGGTTTTTTAAATCTTGATGAAGCCCAACTTACCGATTTTGTCTAATAATTTTTATTCTGTTTATCTAAGAAATCTGTACCTCATTTGGGATCACAAAGATTATATTTAGATCTATGATCCATTTTATGTTATTTTAATGCATCGTTTGAGGTAAAGGTTAAGGTTCATTTTTTACCTACATATTCAGTTGTTCCAGTACGCCTGTTAAAAACACCTTTCACCACTGAATTAACTTCTTTGCTGAAAATCAACTGATTATATATTTGTGGGTCTATAAACTCCCCATTTGGTTCCATGATCTATATCCCTATCTTAATGCTAATATCACACTGTCTTAATTATCATAGGTTTGCATAAAGCTCAAGTATAATTTTTGGTGATTTAACTGTATTAACAATCTTTGGCTATTACTATTAGGAAAATATTTCACAGATATCAAATAACAGATGGTACTAAATGTCAGTATTACAGGAAAACAGTGAATGTAAGAATTCTTTTCTGCATTAGTTTGCTAGAAAAAAAAGATTAAAAAAAAATTCTTTTCATCCCAAAGCACAAAACGTATCCATTTATTTCTAAAGATAGCACAGAGACTAAAAGTTAATTGATTTCATTTGTATACTTCACATGCTTCAAATGCACTTATTTTTCAGACACTATAGACATTGCCCCAGAGACTCCTAGAGATAAATCTAAGAGTATCTCTGTCCTTATAGTGTCCTAGAGGGGTAATATAGGTCCCTCCAACTTTCTCTAACTCACCAAGTCTAACATATACTTTACCACAGGGTAAAAATTAGTACTGACAACTTCCCAAGAACTTTAACTGCATCTAGAAATACAATTCATTTTAAATCTACAAAATATAATAGCTTTATAAACAACCTGGAGTACAAGACTGACAAATATACCAGCATCTGTGATAGTCCTTATCATAAAAATGGTTTAACAACTAGCCAGTGATAGAAGGAAAGAAAATGTACCAACCTAAAAAGGCAGTCCTTTCATAATTTTCACACCTAAAAAAAACCCTAATTTCTAGTGATGTCATAAAAGGTCTAAAAATAATACAGAATTACTTATACCCCTGGTTGTTCTCATTATTCAATAATGAAGTTTAAAAATAGCAGTAAAGTGGGCCAATTTTATTTTGCTCATAATCAATACATGATTAGATTAAAATGATTTTAAATGTGAGATTCTGGAACCACTTCAAATTTTCTTACAGAAGAAAAAAAAATAGAAAAAGAATTAATAGATTCCAGAAAAATAAAAACTAAACTTTTACTGTATTTTTAAAGATTTTTTTGAGAGATTTATGTCCTATTTTATCAAAAGAAACATCTCTTTAAAATTAATCAGGTCTAGTTATGCCTGAAGGCTAGAAATGAAATAACCAACAGTATGCAGTTATTAAGTTATCACTTATTACAGTGGTCACAAAAAGAAAATCAGTAATAATTCAGACTCTGAGACATAAGAGAAACTAATATAAAAACAATAAAAACTTAACTATCTTATATTGCAAAGCAAATTAGAATAGGGAATTCTACTCTAAATTATTTTTGGCCTACCGCTCAGAAACAAACAAAATCATAAGCTGCTTTTCACTAAATATTTCACACCATTTTCTAAAGGTACTACTTATTTTAAAACGCCTTTGAATTTTTAAGCTTCCCTTAATTCTTTAGTAAACCTCCACTGTTTGCTTCCAATCTTGACAAATATATTTTGCAGAAAAACCAAATGAATTTACCACAGAGTAAACAAAGTACTTATATCTTACAAAATTCCTATTAAGATTACCCATGCTCAATGCTGTCTTTCAAAACAACAATAGCAACTTTACAGTAGATTACACATGAAGCACTGTAAGATTTGGGCTGAATTTCTTTCAATCTCTACCTCTACCTCCATTCGTGGACTGGTAGCACTGCTTATTAATCTTTTAATTCACTCAGATGACACCTCTTCATTAAGAAAAATGAAAGAGAAAGAATAATAAACTCACTTACCCTTCCTTAGACATTCTCAAAGATCTACTTCCTCTGGATGAGAATTACAGGATCAACAAACAAGCTTCACTGATCTCTTGAGAACTGTGGCTCATTTGTTAAAGCACAGAGAACTCAGGCCCTGAGAGG